TCTCTCTCTCTCTGACCTTCACAGGCCACAGGCTATGGGAGAATGTGGAGGATCCCAGGGATAGTTGCTCCTGTACAGGGAGGAGCAAGCCAGGATGCTGAGGTTTTCCCCTTGTCCTGTTGCAGGCCCAGCTGAGCAGCGAGTGGGCATTGTGGGAGGACAGGAGGCATCTAGGAGCAAGTGGCCCTGGCAAGTGAGCCTGAGATCAAAGTCCAACTACTGGAAACATATCTGCGGAGGCTCCCTCATCCACCCACAGTGGGTGCTCACTGCAGCACACTGTGTGGGACCGTGAGTTTGCCTGGGCCTGACACGGGGGTGCGGAGTGGGGGTGGGGGTGGTCAAGATTTCTCCCACAGTCCCCAGTGTTCAGAGCCTCCCAAACAGGGCTGTTTCTTCCAGGAACATCCGAAGCCCAGAGCGCTTCCGGGTGCAGCTTCGTGAGCAGCATTTATACTACGAGGACCAACTCCTGCCTGTGAACCGGATCATTGTGCACCCCAACTACTACTTGGCTCAGACTGGGGCAGACATTGCTCTGCTGAAGCTCAAGGACGCTGTGAATGTCTCCACCCATGTCCAGCCCATATCCCTGCCTCCTGCCGCGGAGACCTTTCCCACAGGGACATCATGCTGGGTGACAGGCTGGGGTTACATTAATAATTCTGGTATGTGTCAGGGATGGCTGCCAGCTAGTTGGGCAGGGACTCGATCTCACCCAGCCCCAACATTGGGGGGTGGACAGGGGTTCCCAAGGCTGGCCAGTCCCTGATGAGTCCCCCAAATGCTGCACCTCTTTCACCGCAGTGCCCCTCCCGCCGCCCTATCCCCTGAAGGAAGTGAAGGTGCCCATTGTGGAAAACAGCCTCTGTGATCAGAAGTACCACGCTGGCCTCTACACAGGGGACAACATTCGCATTGTCCGTGATGACATGCTATGTGCTGGAAGTACTGGGAAGGACTCCTGCCAGGTGGGTCCTGTGTCCTTCCCCCATACCCCACCCCATGCAGTCTCCATATGGAGTACTAGCCCCTGTCTTCCCCAGGGTGACTCAGGGGGGCCGCTGGTCTGCCAAGTCAAGGGTGCCTGGCTGCAAGCAGGTGTGGTCAGCTGGGGTAAGGGCTGTGCAAAGCCCAACTATCCTGGCATCTACACCCGGGTGACGTACTACTTGGGATGGATCCACCGCTACGTCCCTAAGAAATCCTGAGCTGCTTCCAGGTCAGAGGAGAACCAGGCCCTATTGTCTTGAACTGGATGCTTCCTGCCCAGGTGGAACCTCCACCTTCCTGTCCTTCTGCCTCCCCTGTCCCTCTGAGCCCCTGGCCACCCCCATCCCCTCTGCTTCCCACCCCAGATGACCGCACAGGGTACTCATTAAAGCACATGCAAACAGCTATGGGGGTTGCTCTCCTCATTGTGGGTGTCACTGGGGGAAAATGGAGTACCTTGGCCAGGCTGTGATGCCCTTGCTGTGGGGTCCTAGTCACGTGACTGGCATACCGTAGTGGGGTTGGGCCTCTTACCAGGCCCTGTCCCCGGGACTAACCTCTTTCCACACAAGCTCACTTTCAAAACGTATTTTAAACACATTTCAAACAGACGCTTGTTTGCTGGGCAGTGGTGGCGCACGCCTTTAGTCCCAGCACTCGGGAGGCAGAGGCAGGAGGATCTCTGTGAGTTTGAGGTCAGTCTAGTCTACAAAGGGAGTTCCAGGACAGCCAAGGCTGTTA